GATTTGTTTTGTTTGTTTTCATTTGTTTGTTTGTGTGCGCCCCCCTCAGTTTTTTTTTAGCACCAGCCGCCGCTGCTGACAGATCTCAATAACTTTCTTCTTCTTTTGTTCCTGAATTTTTGTGACCTGGACGAAGGTGGGCTTCCAGACACGCTGCAATATATTTTGGTGCAAGAAGGAAAACAAAGCATCGTAGGCAACAAGTTATCTGTTCATTTTTCATTTTATATCATTCAAGGAGCTTTTTTGTTGTACTTTGCTTTGTTTTTTCCTGACTGAGAAACTACGACAATGTAATCTAAACCGATTTGATTCCTGGATAGCTGCAGGTCTTTATCGTCTGTTAAACTGCTTCTCTTCGTCTTGTAAGAATGCAAATGTTGTCTTTACTCTCGTCAAACCAACATCTTCTCTCCAAACCATCTGATGGATGTGTTTGATAAGTTGTGTCTTTTTCGAAGAGCACGTGGATTATTAGTTGTGCTAACTCCTTCTAGTTTTGAAAAATCCTCATTATGTCAATATCTGCTGTTCATTACGCTCAGATTTCTGGAGTTCCTAAATTAAATTAAAATTAAATAGAATTAGCTTGATCATTCTCTCAGCTTGTGCACCTTAACTGTTCATGTAAGGACTGATCCAGATCATTTTAACTGCATTAACTCCGATCGGCTCCGTTTTTTTCATGTTGGCGCAGAGAATCTCACCTGATACTGAGGTGATGTTCTGTGACACGTGACGTTCTTGTTTCTGGAGTGCGGCCAGAACAGAACATCACATCAGTTAATGGCCACATTCCTGAAAAGCGATTGGAAGGACGTGTTTGTTTCTGTCGTTGATGGACATCGCTTTGTACGTCACACACAGCACACACTCCACTGGGAGACGAGATTTCAGATTAACTCCAGATTCTAAGTCGTAGATTAATTAAACCACCGCTGCAGGTATATGTAACATTGGTGCTGGTCTCATCATAGCAAAACAGTGAAGTTGGAAAAACATTGAACTTTAACATATGTCAAAAATATTAAAATAATTTGACAAGAAATTACAGCTCTGCAGTTTAAACTGAAGCCCACTCTATATTTTAACCTCTGTCCAGGAGAAAAACGGAGTAATCCACTCACTGTTATACCGCAAATACTCTTAAAATGTTGTCTTTGGTTGATGTTTTGAAGTTCTATTCATGTGTTTAGCGCAAGTTAAAGTTACAAGTAGTATAGTTTTTTTGCATGAAAGCACAAAAAGTCTTTATTCGACAGAAGGCATTCACATGACGGCAGGAGGACGGTGTTGTCCCGATCAACCGGTTCAACCACCACCCACTCTCTTTTACTGTTGAAGAAGTTAAGAAATCAAGGGTGGGACCTAGATTTCCTGCTTACCCACCCGCTTGATGCATTTTCAATTGTAATCTAGTGATACACTTGAAAAAAAGCTGAATTTTGAGTTCATTAAAATGGGACACAGTGGGTGTTGTTTTTTACAAGATGTGAATTCCAGGAATGTTGTAGCTGATATCACAGCTTCTGTTTTTAAAGGTCAATTGTTTAACAAATAATAATAATAAAAATAAAGAAATAAATGCTGAGGAATTATGAGCTATTCTTCAACAACCAATTATTAAAGTTCCTTTATAAATTTCAAACACTTTCATATTTTTTGGTGGGAATAAGAGAAAAATTGATCTAAATCTGAAGTGAGATGTAAAAAACCCCCCCAAAAAACGCTAAATAAATAAATTGTTTTGATGCTTTTTCAATTTCTTTGGCATGTGTAATCAAACAGGTTTTGGTTTAATCAGACAGCTTTTCTTTTGGACATATTCTGGTCAGGAACACCAGGAGAGATGGATGGATGGACAGATGGATGAAGGGATGAATGCATGGATGAATGGAATGATTGTGTTACTTTTGGTGATTCTGTGAATTTGTCATTTATGTATTCTGTTTTCAAAGTTTTCAATAAAATGTTTTCCTTGAATTTTTTCAATGTCTTAGTTGAATTTTTATAGCACTTTATTTTTTTGATTGTGTACAAATATACTACCAGCATAAAGCAAAATGTCAATTTTTTTGTTTTACATGTGCAACCCCGTTGACTTAAATATGCTCTATAAATGTTTGTCTTAAATTACATTGTTTAGTGATATTTCAATATTTGTTTTTTATTAAACATGCGATTTCTCCAATGTTAATAAATAATACATTTCAACGTCATGTCCATCGATTCAGAGGCTGAAAATAAAATATCCCACCAAGCATAAGTTTTTTCAGTTCCAGTGGCCCCACCTGCTGGCCAGCTGAGGTATCGCCCCGCTGCGCCTTTAATCTGAGTATTACGGTGTTCGGAAGAGGTCTTTTACCGTAACTGGGAGTGTGTGGTTACTTTTCGACTGACATGCAGGTGTTGCCAAACAGCAGCTGCTCTTCAGCTCAACGTGAGTCTACTATCCTTGTTTTACGGTCTGAAGCAGCGATATATGATCGATAATATTGCTTCAGCTGGCTTGTTTGCTGCCTTGAAGGTTCATGTGGTTAGCTTAGCCTGTTGTACTTTGATCTTTGATATCGACGTTGCCGTTGACGCGGCGGAAGCAACGAACGGAACCAGAACTGTCATATTAAAAGTCAACAGTAACCAGGTAGGCTCAACGACTTAAATGAGCAGAATGTGATCCTAGAGCCTGTTTGTCAGCACAGTTAGCACAGTTTGTACTTCAGGCTGATACAGAAACAACAGGGCTGGTTGAGTATGATGTTTATTTCTGACAACATTAAAGCTGTACCGGAGTTTAGCTTGACAATTCATGTATAGTACGAGCTGAAGAACTCGGTGTCCTGGTATGGTCCAATAAAACTTACGGTTTGAATAAAGGTTTTCGTCTTTCAGAATATGTTGAATCAAAAAACAGGTTTTTCTGATTTTTCCTGTGTCACGTATCTGCTAGAAGCGAGAGGGGCGTGGCTGCATGATGTTTATCTGTCCTGTAGTAATAATAGTAGTAATCTCTGAGGAGCAGTTCTAGAAAAGACTCTGCTTGTTGTACACAGAGTTGGGTAGTAAATAGTTACATCAACTCAAAAACATTCACTCGATTAACTTTTTTTTTTAAATAATGTGCTTTTAGGAGTATTTTTACTATGCTGTTTACGTTTACTTGAGTAATTTTATTATGAAGTATTTCTGCTCTTCAGTAAAATTTCTGGATTTTCTACCCACTGAATGAAAAACAAAACATGTTTTAACCAAAAATTCACCAGACACACCTGCAGTTTTTTTTGAATACTTTTTATAGGTTTTTATCTTGATGATTTGAAAAAATATATTTTGCCCGAATTTGTTATTTTTGTCACGTATGAATTATTGTCATTTTGGTCCTTAACACACCAAAATAACTTTATATTTTGGTCCGTCTAATTGTGTAATTTCTAAATATTAAATGATTGCTAATTTGACCAGTTTCTCAGTACTTGAGTAAACCTTTTACCAAATACTGTTTTTACTCTTGAGTAATTTATTGAATGGCTAGTTTTTACTTTTACTTGAGTGAAAATATGTTGAAGTTGGGCTACTCTTACTTGAATACATTTTTTGTGGACTCTACTCTCTTCTGATTGTATGAATCACTGATCAATCTATCTGATCAATGGGATTTAATAAAACTTTACATTTTGCAAGTCCTTTTTTTATAGACTGGTAATGCAAAGGGATTTATAACTTCAGTACCTGAAGTTGCTTTCCTGCAACTTTTACATGCATCCATTTACCAACCACTTGAATAGTTCAATTACCTTTCTCAGACTGTCAAGTTCAGCAGACACCTTGTAAAAAGAAAATACAATAATTTGTTTCCGGTTTATTGGAGCAGAACTGCTTCTAGAAGTGCATTTTCTATACACCACAAATCTGGAAGAAAATTCCAGAAAACTGCAAAACAGCTGAAACACTGAGTTCCTTTAAATTAGGAGTTTCTTTTGGCCCATAATCACTGTAACATTGACCAACATGTTTGATGTGTATTGATTATTTTAAAGAAATGTAATGTTTGTTACTGGTTTCTCAATTGGTGAGTGTATGATGTTTTATAACTTTGTAAAGTATGTAAGTCAAACTTTTGGTTTTCAATGAATTTAAGACATTTTATGTCCTTAATTTTAGGTGCTTAAGACTATTTAAGGATGCACAGATGTTACATTAACAAAAACTCTGTCTTTTTTCTTCAGGCATAAAGGACAGACCTGGAACTTCTTTGTTTACAAGATGAAGATGTGCCAACAGCTGGATCAGTTTTCCTCAGAGCTGTCAGTTCACAGCAGAGTTATCTGATTTCACTGCCTCTAATTCCTCAAAACAAACCGTTTTCAATGTTGATCTGAAGAGTTCGGATCAGACCTCTTTATTTGTTGAAGTTATTTGAGCTGCCGTCGGGTTCAACTCTTCGTTTTCATCAATGCGCCAATGGAAGGTTTTCTTCAGTCAGCACATGCGATGGTCCAGCGCTTTCACTCAAGCCCTCACCCTGTCCATCATCACGTTCTGCGTCGTCCTGCCTCTGTGCTGCCATCGCCTGCTCTATTCCTACTTCTTCAGGTTCACGTACCTGAACTCCATGAGCGATGAGGTCCTACAGAAGAGCCTTGAGCGAGGCCAGGAAGCTCTGCACTTCTGGCAGAGCGGCTCTCCGATGGAGTTGACCAGATTCAGCGACGTCGCCCAGAATCCGGAGCTGCTGGTGACCGTGGTGACGACCAGGCGCAACGAGGGACGGGACTTCCACTACCTGCTCCAGGTGATGCGGCAGCTGAGCAGAATCGCGGCTGACTGTGGGGGTCGGCGATGCGCCGAGGTGCTGCTTTGCGACGTGGAGAGCGGCCCGGAGGAAAACCAGGACGCAAAGCTGCTGGAGGGTCATTTCAAGGTCATACGGCGTTCAAGTCAAGAGCAGCAGGCCAACAGGGAGTCACCCAACACCTTCGAGAGGGAGAAGAGGGATTACGTGTTCTGCCTCCGCCAGGGATGGGAGCTGGTCAAGCCCAAGAACATGATCCTCCTGGAGGACGACGCTCTGCCTGGAGAGGACTTCTTCACAGTGGTTAAGGATCTGCTTTCTCGCCGGTTCGCCCTCCACACACTGTACATCAAGCTGTATCACCCTGAAAGGCTGCAGCGCTACTGGAACCCCGAGCCGTACCGCATCCTGGAGTGGGTGGGGCTCGGTTTGGTGGGTGCAACCGCGCTCCTCCTCTCAATCCCTTACTGTAACCCCTTCTCCCTCTCCTTCACTCTGTCGGCCAACCACCTCGTCTTCTTCACCCTCTACTTTATGGTGGCCGCCGAGCTGATAGGAAGGCACTACCTCTTGGAGGTGCGGAGAATCTCCCCGCAGCTCTACGCCGTCTCCCCGGCAACCGAGTGCTGCACCCCGGCCATGCTTTTCCCCGGCAACGCTTCGCTAAGGGTGGCGGACTTCCTGGATGGCTCGTTCTGCTACAAAGGGAACGCCAAGGATATGGTTCTTTACCGCAAGGCCAGGACCACTCCCGGAGAAAGAGCGCACAGCGTGGAACCCAACCTCGTCACGCACATCGGGGCCTATTCCTCAGTCAGACCCAACCCATCCAGGCCCAAACTCCTCTAAAAAAACCCACTTCACTGCAAAAAGTGGTTTTTGGTCTAGTTTTTGGTGCAGATATATTGGTACACTTAAAATAAGACACAAATAACTTATAAGTAACTTTTCATCAAGATAAAATAGCTTAAAGTGCTAGTTCTTCTGGCAAATTATTCGACTGATAACATGGGAAAAATGTCTTATGCACTGAAACAAAGATTTGAGCTCCAGCTTATAAAATATGTAGTTAATTTGTTACATGTAATCACATTAAGTTTGCCAAACTATAATATAACTTAAAATATTTACGTGGATTAACTTAATTTGATTACTTATAACAAATTAACAAATTTTTTTAAGTTGAATCTTTTCAGTGTAAGTGAACTACTACTTTTTTTTGTCAATATTAAGGAATTATTTTCTTAAAACATGCACCTATTTATTGCAGAAAATTTACTTGTGAGCTAGTGTGGTCTTATTTCAAGTGTACTAAGATATTTGCACTAAAAATGATTGTGAAGATGTGTTTTTGTCGTGTCGGGTTCACTTTTTTCTGTCACATCATAAAGGCAGAACATGTTGATTTTTGGTTTGGAAATGTTATGGATGTTTAAACAGGTTGCAAATCTTTAGCTTTGTTTGACTGCATTTTACTTTACTCACTCTTTTCCACCTGAGTTGCACTTTTAGTTTCAGCTGCCTTCACCAGTTTCTGTCTTTTGTATTAAGTTGGTTTAAGTTGGGAAAAAATAAAATAAAATAAAAGCTGCCTGTTGCATAGAAAGCAATACAACTGAATGAGGTAGCTTTAATTGTTTTCTATATTTTAAAACATGACAAAGGTGATTAGCTTTTCAAATGGGTTCTGGTATTTTTATTATTATTATTATTATTATTATTTACCCATACTTTTGGATATGTACGTTTGCTACGGGATGTTTTATATTCACTTTAAAAACTGACAAATTAAAAAGGTTTTCCTAAAATCATACTTTTAATCTATTAGAAGAAATGAGGTTATGGAATCTGTTAAATATCATTTACAGGCAGAAGATCATCAGGAGTTATTTTGGCTTGATCTAGGGTCTTAATGTGAAATATTTCCATAGGTCAGCTGGCCCAAAAAATAAGCAATTGGCAAATTCTAAATTTATGACTTTAATGGCAACTTCACTTGCAAGGCGCACGCCACAAAGATATACGTTTAAAGATTTATTGATGAAGGGGTGAGGGATGAAAGGATGAATGATCTTGATTTGGTCATTGGGGAGAATAATGGTGAGTTTGGGAAGTGAAGACTGCGTGGGGGTTTGGTCTTCGGGAGACAGCAAATTAAACCTGTGTCCATTTTGTTTCATAACTTTGGCTTTGCAGATTTATTTGCCTTGCTTTATTTTTAAAATTGGATGAGGAAAAAAATTATATCCTGATGCTGGAAATCTTTGGGAATCTTTTCATTTAACTTGTTCATATTGAGCTGATGAGTTGTACACAAAACCTCTTTGAAATATGATTAAAGTAAAAACTGTTTAAAGTTATTTAAACATTGGAATAACTAGAAGAGGAATATTTTTAAAATTTTCTAACAGTTTGTCTGCAGACTGGATGAGTTTTAAACATATCTTTACAGTTTATATGTGGTTGTCCAACATGTTTCTAGTAAAAGTTTTAAAACTGATTAAACATCTGCTGTTTAAGTCTAAAAACAGCAGATGTTTTTAGACTTAAACTGCTGTCAGAATGCTGTGAAACCTGTAAGAGCGGAAATACTATTTAAGGAGTGTTTTTGTGAAAAAGACTTTGGCTTCGCACTAGGTCAACCTGACCGACTCCTTTCCTTCCATTTGCGTGCAAAGCGCAAATGGAACCAAAAAAGGACTTGGAAAGGATGTCTATTTGGACAGATAAGAACAACAATTTGAGATAAATTGTCCTATTCAGCAATTCTGAAATGGAGCAGATGTTGAGTTCGTGAGGTCCAAAATATTTTAAAGGTCGTCCAATACACACTCAGTATAAAGCGTGCCAGGATCTTTCTGCAAAACAACAGTAGCACGCCATTGGTTGAAACTTTCCAACACACACTGATGAAGATGGAAATGTATAAAGAGAACGATGTCTTAGAATGAGGAGGAGATTTTTTGTGTTGAGACTACAGAAGATTTTTGATTATTGAACTGAAGAAACTGTAGCGAGGTATCCGTGGTGGTGTAATAAATCTCCGGCTCGTCTATGGCCTAGCAGCAAGAACTACGTCTCTGTGCGTTATTTATTTTACTTAGATATTTAAGAGTATAGCCACCCTTCATTTCCTCAATAAAAATGGTGACCCCGGACGTTTGATCGAACAGTTGAACAACCAGGAGAAGAAGGGTGACTCGCTTCGGCCTGACTGCGGACGGGAGGCCATCTGGGCCCACTTACAGAAAGAGAGGTAAGCTTTTATCTCTTTTGCCTGTTAAAAACTGAACGGCTTCCTGTCTGCTGGCGGTCTGAAGTGCTAAAAAGTGTGATTAAGTTCTTTCTGCTTACCATAGGCGAGTAAAGCGCAAAGAACAAGCTGCCAAAAATCTGAGACTCATAGGTATCTCATACATTCTGGAAACATGCAGCTCGGAAAATAAGCACTTTTTCAGTCTGGTCTCACCCGTTTTGGTGACGGTAACAAGGAATTCTCTTCCATTATAAGTTACCATATATCAGCCAATCTGGTGTAGTTCTTCTGAACAGGCACTTTCATTGAGCTGACTAGTAAATAACATATCACGATTTGTTAAATTTGGCAGGAGGCCAAGAAGCTTAACTTTAACATTAAACCAGCTGAACCACGAAGAGAGATTGGGATCTCTGTGAAAAGCGCTATAAAAATAAAGAATAAGAATAAGAAGAGGCCAGGAGAGGACAGTTCTTTTTTTTCTCTGTGAGACCACCGAATGTCTCCATGAGAGAGACAGCGGAGTTTCCTTAGCGGAGGGAACGAGTTTTTCTCCAAGGAGTGACCACGGCATATCCCAACCACGAAGAGAGCAAAAACCTCTTCTGGTGGGAGAAACCAAAGTCCTCCATGAGATGATGTGTGGCCTGAAATAGAGTTGAAAATGAGTAAAAAGTGAATAAAGAAGTTCAAGTGAAGAAAATAGAGTTTTACAGATTACTTTGTGAGTTAAACTGCAGTAATTGTTCTTTAATTTCATTGTCTGAGATTTTTGGTGAGGAGTTTAAGTGTTTCTGTCAGCCTTGGCTAAATTAACTGAAGTCCTAATATAATTAATTGTGTGCACACATTAAAATTGGACAGCGGCTAAACAGCCAACTAAATTTTATATATTTATAATGAATACATTAATAAATATAATTACACTAACTAGAATCCCCGGGGAGGAGAAGGAATAAGAAAAGAAATGTAAATGGAATGAATGTTGCTGAGATGAATGCTGAATAATTGGGAATGTATGTTATCTGTTGTGTAAGTATTTGATTGGCATGCCTGTATATACTGTAAAATTCTGAAATATGCATGTTTTTGGCTTATTAAGTAACTGACTGCTTTCAAAGTAACGTTGAGCATTAGAAGCCGCCGTGCTCTGCATAAGAGTTAAAAATTGGTCTTTTTTAACTGCAATTGTTTTACGCTGTTTGTAACTTGTAATTTCATGCTGTGCAGTATAAATAGGAAAACATCCATATTGCTACTATATTTCAGAAAAGTATAGCAGTAAGGAGTTGTTTCTGCTTAGTTGAGAGAAAGAAAAGAGTTTCTTGGCTGATTCCCAGAAACGCACACACACAAACTTTCCCTCCCACCCTTTCTATCCTCTGGTCAAGCTCTCAGCTTTCTCACCCCCTCTCTGCCCCTCTCCTCTCTCTCTCCCTCTCTCTTGCCACCCCTCGCTGCCCCTCTCCTCTCTGCCCCTCTCCTCTCTGCCCCTCTCCTCTCTCTCTCCCTCTCTCTT